TGGTTGCATCACAGTTGATGGAGACTCGTTCTGGATAATTAAGCAGATAAGCCGAAGAAGAAAAGTTATTATCTCATGATCATTTTAAGACTTTAGAGGCAAACGTTCACTTCATGACTGCAAGTCTGATCAAAACGAGGTGGAAAAAAAAACAACAGCATTGTACAAGAACAAAGACACTCATCAACATTGTTTTGCAGTTCATTCCCTCCCAGAAGCCCTTTTCACACCATCCTTACTAAAATTATGCTTGTCTCAAAAGACAAGTTTCTCAGCTAAATTACTTGTTTCTGTTCTCATTTTCTTTTTAACTCTAATGAGCTCAGCCACAGATGCTTAGCAACGGCTCTGACAGCTCAACAATGAAAAGGTCGGGGGTGGCACTCATTTATTGTGCTAACCTTCACATGCTAATGTGTAGCTGTGTCGCTACAGCCGCACATATCATTGTATCCTTTCACCTGAGCGCTCTCTCTCTTCTTTTTGACGTTTTTTGTTCATAACACCCACAACAATCATCCACTTAGTCACTTCTTTTACGAAAAAATAAAGTGTCCCGGCTTTGAATCAGGCCGTGCTTATCGTTGAGCATCATTTAAACACCCCTCCTAGCAATCAAATGCTACTTCGCAGTATTTTATGTTCCCTTTAGACGAGTTGATTCATTCCTCCGGGGAGTTTCAGTCTGAGTGGGAGAAAGAAAAAGGTGGAAGCGACGGGGTGCATCAATTATGTGACAGCATGTTTCAAACTACCTCTCTGAACCATCAGCATCCTTTTCACACAGCTGATTATCTAAACTCTATGGCACCAAACTGAAAAACCAAAGAGCGATTGTTTGACGGAGTTGAAATATCCATTAGTATTTCTCAAAGGAGCATGTCTAAAGTGGGACTAAAGCTCTGGACATAAAAAGAAGTGGACATGCGCTTGGCTTTGGAAACAAAATAAGCTAGAAAAAGTCAATTTGAAAGAAGCAATTTAGATAAAGCCCATCTCCTCGCATTGCTCAAGGGTGTTTTGACCTCAAAGGAATGAGTAACCATAGTTAGAATGATTCCCCCGCTGCTCTTAATGCCGCAATACGTCAAAAAAATCGCTACAGTGGACCAAATGTTTATTTAGTCCACACTCCCAACTGGAGCTCTACATTCTCTGAAACTCAGACTTAGTTAAAATTTCAAAACCTGCATATATATTACCTTAATGTTAGCCATTATTTACACAGCAGAAGCCAAAGCGAAGTAAGAACATACTCTGCCTGATCAGACAAATAGTCTCCATGTCCTGGTTTTAATGCACCAAAGCTCATAATTCTGAAAACTGGATTAAGATGTGGCAACTCAACTCATCAAGCATGATATTAGTTAAAGAAATGAAAGGAGCATTTCTTGAAGGAACACATACCACCCAAAGACTGCATACCAAAGTTTTCAATAAATGTCTAGGGTGAGTTGTTTGTGCTCAAAGTGTATGGTGGAGATGATTCTCAGCTACCACACCAAATTTTAGCTCAATGCCTGTAAAACTCACTGAGTCAAAGCCGTTTTTCTTTTTGTTCAATAAAAGCTGTGACAGCCATGTTGATCTGGGTAGACTCTAATAATTATTGACTTACAGTAGTCCCTCGCTACTTCGCAGTTCAACTTTTACGAACTCACTCTTTTGCGGGTTTTCAAAGTAAGACTGAACACGCACAAAAAAAATATTGTGCATGATACACGACTGTCAACTTTAATATTACTCACGTGATTGTGATAGTACAGGATACTGTACAGTAAAAAGTTAACAAAAAAAATACTTCGGACAGGCGATGTCATTTTGTAGTTTTCTCTCAATAAGTCTCAATAAGCCGACACCATATTGCCACTCAAAACGACTACATTTCCCATAAGCCCTGTTGCCTTCTGCTGAAATGGAGGGAAAGTTTTGATCCGATCAGAAAAAGTTCAGGCCTTATTCATAGTGACTTTGGTGCCTAGCTGATGTAGAGAGCCGCACGGTTCAGACCGGGAACTGGACCAGAACCGGACCTCCAGAACTGATTGCCGCCTGCCGGCTCACGAGGCCTGTCGAGCTGGGAGGCGCCGCCTGGAGGTCTGGCGTTCTCTCTGGAGTCCACTGGGACTTTTTTCATCTGGATTCCTCTGTATTGTATGGACTCTTCTCGGGACCATTGTGTGGTTTTGTGCAGGCTCTCCGAAGGTCTGGCTCTCTCCAAAAGCGTCTGATGATCAACGGGTGCAGAGAGCCGATCAGAACCAGACCAGAACCGGACCAAGGCTGTTGACTTCCCATATAAAATTTTGCAGTAGCTACTGTGCAGTACATAAAGTATGTATGTAGTTAAAAGTATATAAGTTTAAGAGTTTAGAACATTGCAAGAGTATGGGAAGGGTTTATAAAGCCTTAACATATATATAAATACTAAAATAAATACAGCGTCCCTACTTCGCAGATTTTCACTTAATGCCGGGGGGGCTATGGAACGTAACCCCCGCAATAAACGAGATACTACTACCTTCTGAGAGTTTCATTAAAATCCCATAGGTTCATGAGATATTTTGCTAACAGACAGGAAAGCACACAGACAAGACGATCATTAGCCGTGGCGGATGATAATGACGATAACTGATAAAGAAAATCGATTTGTACCAAAAGGTGAGGTTTATAGTTGTTGTTTATGAATCGCTGTTTGTACGGAACATGCTACTCTCAGGACAGATTTGTAAATCAAATGTAAAATTAAATTCATATTTAATCATGTTGCACTCTTGTATCAGAATTGATAAGGATCAAAAAAACATGAACAAATGGGATTTAAAAAAAAGATTTTTAGCAAAAGTTGAGGTGAAAATTACTTTATTTTTCTACCTTTGGCAGACCTCAGGTGGGACTTTTTTATTGTTTAACTGCAGATTATGATTTTTAATCCTCACAGCCACTCAGGTTGATTACAGAACAGCGGGATGCAAATGATGCACAAGAGTGTGCAAATCCTATCAGCTCATATTTGTTTCCTTGTCTTTCATTACTTAAAGTGTCAGTGACGATACATTAATGCTATAAAACAATTTTCTTCACTAAATTTACAGATTACGTTTATTCTGTTCCAAAAAAGGGGGACGATAATAGTTTTGCCTGTGTCTATATGCAAGTTTGTGTCTTTAACCCAAAAAAAAAAAAATGAATGAATGAACCGCAAGATGGATTTTATTGAAAATATTTGAAAATAATTCACAAAAAAGTTAAATCATGTCATCTTGACAGTTTCTTTGTTGGAAGAAACGTCTTGTCTTTCATCTGAAAGACTTCATCAGCCTGAGTTCTTCCAAAAAGCAAACTATCCAGATGACATGATTTAACTTTTTTATGATTTATTTATCTGAATAATGGAGCATACTCACCCTTTTTCTTTTTAACCATTTTTAACCAGGTTGTCCTCAGGCTGGTTCGGTAAATAGTAAACGGCCATTTTGCCTATAACATTTGATGGTTATGCACTGATGCTCGATTGTTTTACACTGTTGGGTCTTCCATTTTGCATGTGTAAAGCCATGCTGGGAACTCAACAGCAAACTGGTTTGAAACATGTCAACAAGGTGCTACTTAACACGACCTTAACCTGTTGGCAGGCCTCAGACTGATGAAGTCCTTTGGATGAAAGACACAGCGTTGCTTCCAAAAAGAAACTGTCCAGATGGCACGATTAAAAATTATTTTTTGTGACTCATTTACCTGGATGATTGAGCGTACTTTCTATTTTTTATTAGAAATTAATCATTAAAAGGACATCTACAACTGATTTACTTTTGGAGCTAACACAAGACAAGATGGCTGCCATAGGCAAATGACCTCAGAAAACACAAACGATGGCTACAATCCAGTTAAGTTTACAAATATTGAACTAAATTTTGATACAATTGTAGCTTTTTATTATTATTTTTTTCTTTTAGCTGCTCCCTTCTTTAGGGGTCACCACAATGAGCAAACTCACACAAAGACTTGGCAATTGTTTTCATGCTGGACGCCCATACTGATGCAACCACAGACCACCAAGCTACTGCAGCCCACTCGTGTGGAGCAGAGGGCTGCTGTCTAAAGCAGAATGGGAGATCAGATGGTGGGATTAAGGGTCTGCTCAAGGGCCCAGACTTGAGCAAATGAGGGTGGAGGTGCCCAGACATCATATCTCACTGATGTGATTGTGAGACTGTATTTTTCACATGGAGGGTTTAGACTCAAAGAGAAACAGAGAGGGAGAACTCCTGATGAGTTCTCAGACTGCGGCACGTCACACTCAAACAAAAACAACGCAAACCGTACATTAAACAGTTTGGCAGAGATTGACATTAATTGTTAGTTAATGATGGAGGAGTTGGAGGAGGAAGGTCTGGTGTTTTTGTTGTTAAATGTGGAGAACTGCTCTTTTGGTAATTTGTCATGAAGAGACCGCCCCCGTTTCAACTACAGTAGGAACTGTCTGAGGTGTACTCCCTCCTCGCCAGTACAGCTACGGACATCCGCCCGTGTCTCTGCGCGCTCTCCGTGCACAAAAAATAGTCCATTTTCCTTCTCCTAGTCCTTCCAATATCTATAAAAGCTTTGCTGTGACAATTGTAAAGATGGCTGAATCTTCAAACGGCCTCGGCCAGCGGGTCCCAGAAATGAGAGCAGTGTTTTGCAACAACTTTTCGTAATGAAACACGCCCAGAACATTCTGATCAACCCCACAATACTTGGTGCACAGCCTGTGAGCAACTAGTTTTGTAATTTCCATCATGTAACCAAGTCAGAGAGACAATTTCTCATTTCTCATGGATTATAAATCAGGCTTAATCCTCCTCAACTTTGACTCACACCGAGCGGACAGTTTCAGTTCCTGCTGCACTACTTCCCTTAACATAACATTCAGCAAACTTTAATAAGACTTAAACAGAAGGAGGATGAAAATGTCTGAAAATATTAAACCCATTGACTTCTATTCTAGGAGCAGGTACCTTTGAGACATGATCTTGTACGCATCGGGCAAATAACACCGCGTGTTCTCCATCTGCGCGGGGTCGGCGTCGCAGATCTTGTCGTCCGTGCGGCCATAGTTGGCGCTCTCGATCATGATGACATCGGTGCCCGGGCAGCGCAGCTCGATAGGGTAGCTCTCGCAGGACAACTCCCTCCTCACCACCGCCATGGGGACGGGCGCTCTGCTGAGAGCTGCGGTGGGAAAAAAAAACAACAAACAGGTGAAAAGGAATTCTTTACAAAGCCAAAACTAAACAATTACCGGAAAACATTCAAAACCTGTTTAAGACTAAGGAGTAAATGTATAAGTTATGGGGGGAATCAGTTTAAAATATGCAAATTCAGAACTACTAGAAAAAACTTTTGTGTATCAGGAAGTGGAGTCAAACTGTGGAATAATGTGAAAATTGAGCTTAGACAATAAAACTGTTCAAATTATAATTTAAACATATGATTCTTGCTTACTAGTAATATTAATATTCAATTATTGTTGGTGTTTTTGTTATTGATGCTAGTTTTTTGAAGTTAATGAAATAATAATTGTTTATCTACTATAGTTAACTTAAATAGATACTATATTGATGCGTTACATATGGGTTTAGTTGTTATATGTATGGATTATACATGTAATAAATGTAAGATTATGTAAGTGGTCAAAGAGTGGGGATTTTGAAACGTTTATATTTCAACCCACTCCCTTGAATATGTAAAACATAAAGTTTTGACATTATGTAATTAATGTTAATTAATAATTAATGTAATTAATGTAATGTATTTAATCCCTCTGGGATTAATAAAGTATTTTTGAATTGAGTTGAATGTTTCATGCTATTTTTTTTACATATTCAAAAAATAATAACCTAAACTAAACTAAATTATTTCTCAAGAAATTTTGAGGGATGACTAACAGAATGTTGGGATTAACTTTAGCAATCTAATCTGAAGAAATGCATATGCTCCAATGGATGAACTGTAAAAAGTGTAAAAAGAACCAACATTGAAGGAAATATTACAGCTGCTGTCAGGGCTCTTTAAGGTAACCATGGTAACCACAACTTGCGTCTATCACTTGCAGATAGCACTTTTAATAATAGGCAGATAGAAATGCAGACTAAAAAGTTATCCTCAAATAAACTGTGACTGTAAAATTTGAACATTTTAATAAAAGAGAAAGAAACAAATGTCGTGATTGCAAAAGAAAACAGAAAATAAAATAACGGAGCAGTAGCAAGAGAAAAGGACTTCTCTGTAAACACGCAGCGTGAACATATAATGCTGAAGGACTTTGTCGAAGCAAAAAAAAAAATGCTAACTAGACTGCTTAAGTCAAAAGGAGTAGATCAGCAATAACGTAGCTAAAATTGAAACAAGCAAAATCACAAAATGCAACAGTTGGCTAAACTGTTGCTAAAACCTAAAACAAGCAAAACAGTAGCTAAAAGATCAAATTAGTTAACTATAGCTAAAACATTTAAAACGCTAAACCAAATCTTACTTTAATTCAACAGAGGCTAAAAGCTCAAATTTGCTTAATTGCAGCTAAAATCTTACATTATAAATATAATGGATAATAAAAAGTTAAATTTAGCAAAACAAAGCTAAAGGCTGCATTTTGAAAATCGTAGCTAAAAGATAAAATTATCAATGTCTATCCAGCAACGTTTCTGAAGGAACAGATCTATTCTTTTAAAGTGGGAAAAAAAGTAAATACAATTTAATAATTCAAAAACTACAAAAGTTACATAAACTAAAATTCGTAGCAAACTATTACTGCTCGAACAGAACGTTTTAATATACGAACGACTGAAATAGCACAAAGTATATGGAAGTAGTTTGACTGCAAAATAACATCTGGAAGAAACAGGAAAACTATATAGTGTCAATGCTGACTCAGCATTAATGCACTGAAATATCTTTCAAAGTAACAAGTTTGAGAGCATCAGCTGTGTTTACTGGGTAAAAAAACAAAACAATAGCTAAAGTAATTTCATATCGGAGCCAGAGTGTAAACTTGTGTCTATTTCTACAAGAAAACAAGGAGACAGAAGGACCGGTCATCAAAAGGTCCCACACGGAGACGTGTGCAAAAAGGTTATCCACCCTTGTCTCCAGAGTGTGGGCTGATGGGACGCTGGTTGTTTGGAGTGGGAGGAAGAGCAATCCCACGGAGGCCCTAGAGAGGCTGGGAGCTGTGGAGAGACTGAGTACCAGAGTGACACACATCAAACATAAGGAAGGATCGTGTTTGTTTTTGACTGAAAGGAAATAAACTTCAATTCCACGAGCAAGATGATGAATTACAGAACAACCAGTGTCCAGAGCTAATTGGTTAAATCTTCCTTCAAGGCATTGTTTCAAAGTGGGCACCAGTTCACTTCACTTGGATTAAATGCAGGCAGGGGGTTGAAGGTCATAATGTGTCTTTGACAAAAAACAAAAATAAGTTAATTTGTCTTTAAAAAAAAACGTGTTTAAAAAAATCTCCAGTTTGGAGCAGAGTAAAAATAGCTGGGAGGGCTTCTGGACCGAGTGTCGGCCAAGTGCGGGTCACTGTTTTTAGCGGTTCCTTTGAGACACGAGAGCTCACATGCGTGCCCACGGATGTCTGGAGGCTCGAACTGGCACACGAGTGAGCATGTGTGCGTGGCAGACTGGAGACGTTCTGTGTTTACAGACAGGATAAAGAGCGAGCGGAACGGCGTGAACGTTGGCCTCGGTGACGGGTGAAGACTTTACAAACATATTTTAGGGAGCTGCGGGATGACGTAGAGCACTAACTAACAAAGCGAGAGCAGGTGATGCCACCTGGAATGAGTTTCAGGATTCATTACGTCATTTCAAACTGGTTTAATAATCAAAATATTCACTTGGTGAGAAGACAAGAGCCTCTCAGCGTGAGGTAGAGTTCATCTTGACTTTGGAATTAAGCACAAAACAACCTCATCACAGGCCTTGTTAAGATGTTCTGATTGTTTTGGTCATGGTGGTCATGAGAAGATGATGTTTAGCAGGTTCCAATAGCAGCTAATAAAGTATAAAGGTGAAAAATTGGAAATGAGAACAGCTGCAGTTTTCTAGTAATACAATCGAAAACTTTAGAACAGCTACAATATGGGCCTTAAAGCAAAAATAGTAAAGTAAAAAGTAAAAGTAAAAGTAGTATAAAGTAAAATATAAAGCATCAATGCACTATTCTGATTTTTTTGCTGTGATCTGAGTATCTTTTTGCCTGGTTGTTCACATTATCACTGAAATGCAACCGTCATCAGACTCCAGCGTGAACAGTCCACAGGCATGAAGCCAACATGTAGATGAAGACATGACATCGCACGCAGCATGCTGTGTTACAGAAGTGAATATGGATGCTACGCATGTTGACATGTGTGGATCAATTCTGAAGTTGTTGTACAGCAAATGGCAAATGGACAGTACTTATATAGTGCCTTTCTACCTTATTGAGGTACTCAAAGTGCTTTACACTACAATCTGTGCCTTCATTTACCCATTCATGCAGCACTGTCAGTCTGAGCTAACTAAATGGCCGTACCGTTTCTTGATTACGACGGTAAGAATTGCACTTACAGAACAGGAGGGATGTGCTGAAGTTACAGTGGAGAAACAAACTCAAGTATCAATCCCATCACATTAATGTCGATACCGTCTAGGAATGCGCAATATATACAGTACACGGTAGAAACAATACACATTTAGCCTATGATAGAGATCTGTACTCTACCGGCTAACTGCTGTAATGCTGTGTCTGATGTAAAATCAGTTGTCAGATTTAATTGTTACTTTTTTTAGTTGTGTGGTGGTAAAGTCTTTTTTTCGAGAGCTAGGTAGCAAAACTACAAGCTAACTACGGCCGGCTTGCCGTACTCGTATTCGGACGCATGCGCAAAACGCTGTGTTTCGTCAACGCTTTTTTTTCCGTCAAAAGTTAGGCTCTACTTTAAACTGAATGACGCTGGTATCAATTGTACCAATATTTGGATCAATTTGCATACCCCTACCTCAGTAACGTAAGTCGGATGAAATGTGACATGACTGATCAGACTATGGTTGACTAGAAAAGCATTGGATATGTATCCAATTTAGTACCGCATGTGAAAAAACCCCACCTGGGATGGATTTGAAAAAAATCTGATTTGTGGCTTTCTAACTGTCATAAGAAAAATAAAATAAAAATCAGATATGGACCACATTGGTCTCCAGTGTAAAGGCACTGATTGTTCCGCTGGTGACTGGAATCAGACAATTTTTAGATATAATTTAAATCAAATGGTTTTTCTCTATCCAAATATCATCTAGTTGCAACGCATTTCATGCTGTGGTCAATCTTGCAGTAAAAAAAAAATATGTCTTTTGGTATGATGCACTTCCATGTTTTTTACAGATTTTGTTTGCTGGTAATTATAGTTCTTAGAGAAAAAATGGATATGAGTAGATCAAAGCTTTAAAACTGAATCGTAATTGGAATTTGTCAAAAAAAAAGAAAGCAATCTATGCATCTATAATAGCATAGATTGACTTGTCTTTATGTGCTGAAGCAGGCCCCGAATTATAATTAAAAGCCTAAAGACATTTTAATTTTTCGTATTTTTATATTTCAGTCACTTACTCTACTAAACACAGACATGTCATTCATTTTGTAGGTTGCAAAATATCGTGATAGTTCAAGTAATGATCCACTCTGCCTACGAAGTAAAGCGTTGCATTTTCTATCATTACTCCCCACCACTCATCCTTCCATATCCTATTTTTTGACACACATGTAAATAATCAAATAATCTTTTGTAATTCATCAGAACATTGAATTGTTGATTATTTTCAAACAGGAAACCCACTCAGGTTTGTCCACCAGCATCGTGTCAGCTCTCACGACTTGCTTTTCTCTTTTCTCAGTTCTCAGTCTTTATTGTAGTTGCCTCGACGAGTCATTTTTGATTAGGTATATTAAAACTGCAACATGCGGCAATGTCAACCTGACTTTTTGTTTAATATCACATGGACTTGAGGATGCTGAGATCAAGGCCCTGTGGGGGACCGTACCATCTGTTGCCTTCTTTGTTGCAATGCCTTCCTGATGGCATTGCAGAACGGTTAGGAATCTTAAAAAAATACATAAATCCTGCTGCATTCTGGAAAGGAGACGCTGCATTTACAAGAAAATCCATACCATCCTGTTTTTC